TCACCAGAAAGCAAAAGAGAAACAGAAGATCTGGCTCCCACAGTCCCCTTTGAGGGCATGCCTCCAGTGACCTCAAGACTTCCCACTATGCTCCACCTCTTAAAGGTTATACACACACCCCCAGTAGCAAGAAGATGGGACCAAGCCTTCAACACATGGGCCTATGAGATCCAGACTGTAGCAGGGACCACAGAAAACTGTGGTCCTACCTCCCTCAAATACCCTCAGAGAACAGGTAAAAGCATTATGAATACTGTCCTCTCCATTCCCACCCAGCCTGGCAAAGTCCTGCATGCTCCTGTTCAGTATTTCAGTTGTACTCTGCTAGGAAAACAATGGCATTCAGATCTTTAGTGCGTCTTCCTGCCTCCTTTTTTGAGATTGGCTTAGGGCTCAGCTTCCCTTTGATGGCCTCCTCAGTGCCTGGTTTAACCCAGAGCCTCAGAGTTTCTTCCTAACACACAAATCCAACAACTTCCCACCTCCTGATAATGAATGCCATGTTTACATCTTCCATCTCCAAGACAACCATCTCAGGAGCCTTCCAGATGTTTCTCCAGGCATCATGAGCCCCAAGAGATCCTACTACCAATTAGTAGACGACTGGAAAAGACCAGCCAACCAGTTTCTGTGCTGGGCCAGTTCTGGGGAGCAGTGTGGAAGGAAAGCTTTGAGGTCTTGGCGGGGGGAGGGGGGCAGTCTGCTATTTGTGATGCTGAGGACAAAAAATACAGAGCGCTGCTACACTTTCACTTAGTCCATCAGCCTGCCTGAGCCTCTCAGAGGCTGAGGCTCCCTTTGAAACTGTCCTGGATCTATCTCATCTTTTGATTCCGATGGCCCACAGCCTGCTGTTTGTTTTGTCATGATTTAAATTGTTTTAATTCGGTGTTTTATCTTAGATTCTAGATAGGAGAAGAGCCTCTAGCACCAGACGGAGATCTGGGCATGCTGTAGGCATGGCAGTGATCAGAGAACCCGTTACTCTTGTGTCTCCATCCACAAGCCAAGATGCATAACTAGAAGCTGGAATGCATAATGGAGGAAACCAATGCCTTTGTTCTGAGGGTACAAAAGCCACTTTTCAGAAGATGAGAGAATATTCAATAAACATTTTCTAGTTTTAGAAACTTGTCTTTTTTCCTTCCTGGGCACATGTTAGGTAAATGCTCTATAACTGAGCTATATCCTTAACCCTCTTTTTATTTTTATTTTTTATTTTCAGACAGGGTCTTACTAAGTTGTCCAGGCTGACCTTGGACTTACAATCCTCCTGCCTCAGCTTCTGTCCACCAGGCCTTGCTTGGGTATTCCTTTAGATGTGAACTGGTGAATTTTCTTTTTCTAAAATTATTTTTATTTTTGTGTATATGAGTGTGTTGCCTGCATGTAAGTGCACCAGTGTCCTGAAATTCCCAGCGAGGTTAGAAGAGGGTGTCATATTCGCCTGGAACTGGAATTATGGACAGTTGTTAGCCACCATATGGATGCTGGGAATTGAACCCATGTCCTCTGCAAGAGCAACCAGTGCTTTTAACCATTGAGCCATCTCTCCAGCCCCAAGA